CCCACCCCCCACTTTCTCCAGAGTCACTGCATGCATTAGAGCACTGACGCATGCTACAGAAATTCTGGACAGGCAAGTCGTGATGAAAAACTTGTTGGAAGTATGTCGGCTCCCTGGTCCAAAGAAGCCTCGACAAACCCGACATGTCAACGTGACAAATCGCAGCGCCACACTCACCAAAGGCAAGCGTCTCAGTATTGGCGCCAAACGGATAATTCAGGTGTAATTGAATGTGTCACTGGGGCTTATTGAGTTGTGTCATGCTGTGGGCTAAAAGTGAGGATCGGCCTGCAAGCAGCTTGTACCGAGACCAGTGTGATTTGTGTGGTACTGTAATGCTGTTTGACTCCAAACTCGAAGACACGCACGGGATTGTTACTCTTATTTGCTTGGATATAGGCTTGGTTAAAAAAGCGACAAGATGTTTTTGGCAATCATGAATCACTTTTTGCCTAAGGACACACAAATAACACAACAAAATACCCGGCATGGTGAGAAGTAGTACTAAGCGTAAATACATACATTTAAATTCACCCTTTCAGGGACAGTGGTTACTAGAGTGGACAGCTTATCCTGTGAGCAAGTTACAGGGTGCATGAAAGGGTTAAAATGCCTTACCTGTAAAATAATTTCAATTTCGTCTTTAAGATACAGTGGGACATCGACTTAGGAACGCCTCTTCATACCAAATTTTAAAGTTAATATTGCCTCTTGTTATGAAAGAAATTTCAAGATACAAAAGGTAAAAATACAGTATCGGTAAGCTACGAGTTTTCTGAACATAACATACTGAAAGCTGCTCTGCCATAGGCTATTACCGAGCATTTTCCTGGCATCCCATTGGCTAAGAGGGACCGCTACCGTATGTGTCTATGTGTGGATATAGATAAATACATCTGTCTAATCAGCGTCCTCGTCATTCGCCCCTCGGGCCATGAGGTGTTCCAGTAGTTTTACGTAAATGTGAATCACCCAGAAAAAGTGTTCACCAGTCGGCCGATCGCTCACTATGCTGATGTTTGCCTTGGACATTTTCAAGGGGTTACTAAAAGCTGACCAAAGCAAACATCCTTGGATCAGTTCATAAGAAAACGCCAGGCAAAATCCACTTCTGAGAGAGAACATGAACTAAAGAGGGCAAAAAACAATAAGGACGCAGTTAAGTTAAATGACCATCATTTTTATTCTGTACTCTATTCTGTTTTTTTACATTATGCACAACTATCATTTATCGCGCAATAATCTAATTGTAACATGTATTTGTTACACATTTTCATGCATTTTTATGCTTTAGAAAACATTTATGTCTGAATTTTGGGGGACTTGGAACGGATTAGGGCATTTACATGGAAAATGCGCCTCTACGTACAACATTTTCGACAAGAAATTTGTTCCACAACCAATTAATTTCGTAAGTAGAGGCACCACTGTATAATAAATAACTTAATGAATTCTATAACTCCTAAAATCCCAGTTTGTCCACAACAGAGTAGACCGGTACCCATTGTCTTAGTCACAGTTTGACATTTACATGGACATTTTTTTTTAATTGAATGCAAAGATTGGAAGGTTTGTTCTTTCAACCTCCTTTCTCTTGATACTGCGTGTCTCTTGGATCACCAACAAGTTAGTGAGGGCCGTACGTCTTTACAGGTGCCATGCCCGAGGACGTAAACTGGAAGTCGAAGGCAGCACTTAATCCACACGGTTAAAGGCTCATTTATTCGATTCACTGTAAATGGCGGCCAATTAACCGCTTCACTAAAGCTTTGACAACAGCGCGGGCGCTAGCAGAGGGCTCAGTCAATTGCAAACCTGAGTGGTGTGCCTTATGAGCGTCTCCAAGTGCACACATAAAGAGTCTTGTGTCAGGCCGGCTTTCATGTGTGTGCGCTGAAACACAACGCAGCCTCATGACACGCAAGGCTCCATGTGCTCTTAGCGGGCCAAAACGTTGCCTCGAGAGATTTTCCAGGCCCACTGAGGCTACATGGTTTGGGTCTGAACAACTAATACATATGGATGAGTTCCTTCTAAACATGCAAACAATACAGTAAATCCTGGTTTGCTGGAACATCATGGCCTGAAATGTGAGCTGACATCCCGACTCAACAGCAACACCAAGTTTCAAGATTTATTCATTTGACTTCACTAGCTACAGTATGTCTTTTTATTGTCTTTCTTCTTGACGACTTCCTCTCCAGGGGGATGTTTTGCTGTTGCTCTTGTGCAAGTCACCGATGGTTCAGACTTGAGTGCAGTCAGCATTGGTTCAGTTCCTACTCAGAGACCATGTGACGGAAAAGCCGCGATTCAATCGGCGGCAGTCAATCATATCACGTCTTTTGTCTTTTGATGAAGAAGCACGTGGCGCATTATTATGCAAGGTTGTACGTTCCGAGTCCAAGCAACGGTGAAAAACAGCCCATCATGAGCTATTCTGAAGACCAAGAATGGATGGACTGGAGGCACGCTACACTTTCTGCATACCAGCACTATGAAATTCCACCAATCAATGCAAAAATAAATGAGTAAAAAAAATCAAAAATACTCAGAAGATATCCCCCCCCCCCCTCAGTATTTATTGAAAGACTATTGCCACAACACTGACCCACTTTATCCCAATGCAAGCAGACGGTAATATTGAAAAGTGACATTTTTTTACTTTTGCCGCACCTTCATCCAGATGTGCATCAAATTTTAATGCATGACATTAAAGCGAGGAAACTAGTTAACTAATTATCTGAAAAATGAACGACAACCAACCACATGTGATCCCAACTATTGTGACTTCAGAAAGATTTCAGTAAGATTGAGATAACACCCAAAACGTCCAACAGCCAATAGTTTGTCTAAAAAGGTAACGCCGCATAAGAACCAACTGTCTGATCAATCGCTCTCTTTTTTTATTTAATTTCATGAACAACCTCCGGGCAATAAAACTCAGCCAAAGAAGTAAAACTTTCAAATGGACGTGCTATCGTCTTGAAACTCCAGTTCACCAACAATGGTATCTTATGTCCTCTTATTTCACCTTATATCTTCACCGAGCTTCCCTCTCGCTCATCATTAAGCGTGGCCCATCCGCGGCTCTCCGTCATGCACGGATTTCTAAGAGACTGCAACAAGAAAAAATGATTGAGAATGCAAGAACGCCCTTCAATCATGATGTGCACATGAATATTACCGGTAATTTAATGTACGGACGTGACACAAGGAAGGGATGTCTGCAGTCAATTTCGTTTGTTTGATAAGATGTTAATGCAACGGCATTGTGCTAAGAGGCAGATACAGGATTTATTACAATGGTATCTCTACTTACGAAATTAATTGGTTCTGGAAGAAATTTCTTAACAAGAAAATGTAAGTAGAGACGCGTTTTCCATCTAAATGCCCTAATTCGTTCCAAGCCCACCAAAATTCAGACATAAATGTTTCATAAAGCATAAAAAAATGCATCAAAATAATTAACAAATACATGTTACATGCACAGTAAATGAGAGTTGTGCATAATGTACAAAACAAAGAATAAACAATAAAAATGATGGTCATTTAACGTTAAACTGTGTCCTAATCGTTTTTTGCCCCCTTTAGTTCATGTTCTCTCTCAGAAGTGGTTTTTGTCTGGCGTTTCGTAAAGATCTGATCCAAGGACATTTGCTTTTGTGGGCTTTTAACAATCCTTCGAAAATGTCCAAGGCAAACATCAGCATAGTGAGCGATCGCCCGACTGGTGAACACTTTTTCTGGGTGATTCACGTTTACGTAAAACTATCGGAACGCCTCATGGTGAGGGGTGAATGACGAGGATGCTGCATCGACACGTATCTATCTGTCTACACACATAGACACGTATGGTAGAGGCCCCTCTTAGCCAATGGGATGCCAGGATTATGCTCGGGAGGAGCCAATGGCAGAGCAGCTATAAGTATGTTGCGTTCAGGAAACTCGGAGCTGCGAGTAGCAGCCCATACTGTATTTTTTTACCTTTCGTATCTTGAAATTTCTTTCATAGCAAGAGGCAATATTTTCCTGTTGAGGCGTTTCGTAACTTGAAAATTTCGAATGAAGAGACGCTCGTAAGTCGACTGTACATTCTTCACGTTTTATGGTTTGTAGCTACCCAAATGGCAGATGACTATTAGCCTCTGCAGGCTAAATTCTTTCTAGTCCGTGGTTAAGAAATAAAAAAACCCCACAAAGGTCACCGAAAAAACTTCATCTGAAAATGACGATTCTCTGCAAATAAAGTCATGAAAAGCAGACACTCTTTTTGAGTCGGACTCCAAAACTGATTTGAATAGAAACACATTTTGCAGCGCAGCCTTTGGAATCAATCATTCGAGG